CAATAATAATATGAGTAATATTAAATATTTACTGAGGGTAGCCTCATCGGTATTAATAATGTTCTCCCTGAGGACCCTACAATCGTATTATTACCCAGGCTTTTAGGAGACAAGGTTTGTTATTGGCTGTTACAGGAAATAGATAACTGAGATTTTGAACATGTTAAACTAGGGTGACGTACATTTAAGAGGATTTTAAGTGCGAATGGTGCATTCGGGAGCATGTTTTTCATAATGACTTAATTTCGTTCAAATACTACACAATAAACTATTTAAATTTAATTCCAAGAGTAATAGATCCACATAACAAACATGCATAATTATAGGCAGCCATATGTCTTATATGTGAAAATCAATGCAAGGTAGATTGGAGAGATCTAATTTACACAAGGACGTTTTAATTATTTGCATGTGTCATTAATTTTCAACTTATGTTGTTTTCTGAACCAAATGGATTTTTAGATTATTGAACAAGCAGCTGTATCATTTTATGTATGTTTTTTTTATTCATTGCAGGGTTAGCTCGGTTTCCCAGTCCTTGCCATACCTCTAATTATCCAAGCGCTGTCCTTTACTAAGTCAAAACTGCTTCCGCTTCAATACCAATCAAGTTATTACAAGGGTTCGGTCGCCTTTTTAAGTTTTAAGTGTAAATTATAATTCCTTAAATCTGCCATATTCAAAAATGCCATTTTTATTAATGCATAAACATTATGGCTAGTCCTACCTAAAAATGTGGAATGTATGCAATTCACATTCTGACTATGGTAATACAATTATTCGTAACAGGTGAATAAAATAATTTTTAACGAGCCAATTAACAAAGATTTTAGCATTAAATTAAATAATATGAAGAAACTGCTCTTATTACGTAATAGTTATCAAAATAGGCAGGAAATAAATAGGAGAGGGTCCTTGGATCACTGTTAATATTTTCCTACTCTTCAGAGTGTCACCACAATGTATATAAACTTTCTGAAGTTAGCAACTCTGCCTTTTTTCAAATTTCGAGGAATACTGGTTTGAAATAAATGTTGTCATTTCATATTTGTATCTCCTACGGTTGTTTTATTATTCGATTTTTAGCTGGTTTTTTTCTTCAAATGACGCAGGACTGTACACTGTGTATGTGTATGTGTGTGTGTGTGTGGGGGGGGGGGGCGTGTGTGTGTGTGTATATACGTTTATATATACACATACATACACACATTTATATAATACAGGGTAAAGAACTCTGTTGACAAGTTCAGGATAAACTAGATTTCGCCCATAGGGCTTCTTGAAGTTAAGATTTAAACTTTATGAACTTTAACTTCTCTAATGTAGGGCATATTTTTCAAGTTCTTGGTGGTTTTTCATCAGAGTCAAAATCTACATCCTGACCTTTGACCCTGTTACCTCTATTGTCCTGAAGCCAGCATGCACTACTATTAAAAACAAAAGAATAAATAATTGAGGCAATTTCAAACAATTGATGTCGACACCTAAATTATTGCCCGGCACCATCGATTGGACGGTCACAACCAACAAAAAAAAGCTGTGAAACTCAATTGCAACCATTCGAGGAGCATTGTTGAAGAAAAGTGAACACTGGAAAGAGTGAATCAATATAAGAGCCCGAGAAAAGGAAACAGCGCCATCTAATCATCATTGATGAATAACTCCAAGAACAGTATTGCCAGGCGGAAATAATCTGTTTAGATTGGACTCCACAACCGGATCCAACAGTGAATAATATTTGTTTCATAATATTACAGTCGAAAGAATTGCCGTATGTTTATATTCGCAGAAGGATGTGAGTGGACTCGTCTGATAATCTGAAATACAATAGAAAACTCTAGACGATTTGAATTTTTTTTAATTCTTATAAAATCTTTTCTATACCATCAACATTCATGTCCAACTTATAATGACCTCAAAAAGCTTCAAGCATAAAGCTGAAATACAAGTATGTGCAATAAAAAAATGTACACATACTAGACTGTAACTAAATATATGAATCAAGATACTCTGTTACGACTAAACATGGAAGAGAGGGAGAGATATATATTTATATAGAAATGGGGGAGAAGAAATTAAATAGATGGATAGATAAATATACGTTCATGTTGGGCGATGGATAAAGAGTCAGAGAGAGATGAAGAGAGATGGAAAAAGAAAGTGAGATTGAGATAGAGAGAGAAAGAGAGGGAAAGAGAGAGAGAGAGAGAGAGCGAGATGTAGAGAAAGAAGATTGAGAAATAAACTAGAATAGATTAAAGACCACCGCACACTATACCCCCTCGTCCTCCAATCTGATTTTCGATGAAATTACAATTTTAAAGCATAAGAGCAAATAAAAGGGGCACTTATCGAAAGGTAAGAAGGGGCATTTATGAGAAAGGGAAGGGGTTATTATTAAAACAATTAGAGATGTACTTATCACTAGGAAAAAAGAGCACTAATTAGGAAGGAAAAGGAGCACATGTCAAAGTAAACAGGGCAATCATAAGAGGTAAAAAGGGGCATTTGTGGAAGGAAAAGGGGCACTTTTCTCACCTGAAAGTAAACACCCATCACAGATGAAATGGGGTACTCACCACGATCATTCGCATTTATCATGTTTTAATGTTCATATAAAATGCGCTAGCTGTGGTAAATTCTTCCAAAATTGGATGGCAGTCAGATCGTGTGGTGTGCGCTGAGCCTTAGAGACTGGTATGTGTTTCGTTGGTAGTTCTCATGTCTGTCCCAGTGAACTAGCTGCGCCTATAACGACAGGGTGGCCATAACAAAACGGACTAGCATATTTCCGATAATTCAGAGCAAATTTAACCGGTATCAGTAGATGGGAATCTTTGGAAAAGAACATAATAGTGGTTATATAATAGTAATAATATGTCCATTTATATACTACACCGGCTGTATAACATGAAGCCGCACGAGCCCCCATGATAAGGGGCTCAAACATTCAATGAAGTTTTTTCTACTAGAAACCCATTCACTTCACCTGGGTGGAGAGTGGTAATTGTAGATTATATTTTCTCACTAAAGTACATTAGTGCTCAAGGCGGAACTCAAACCGCGAGCCATTTGATCCACAGTCCCCGATGACGGGTATTTACCATACACCACGACAGCTCTACAAACCAAAGTTCGTATTTTAAAGATGCATTTTCGGCAAAATATTGAAAAGATCCACTGGGAGGGCTCCATGCAAATATCACGTATCATGGTTGAGTTTCAGAATGATATTAATGCAATCATTGGTTAAGCTGTAATAAACATCAGATTGAACATAAATTAACTTTCTTAACAATATTTTTACCCGCGTTTTTAAAGATTTTAACGCAGACATTAAATAATACTTATGTTTTAAAATGCTGTTTCCGTATTATTGGACAAACTTGAACCGCTATGAATTATTGCATCACAAAATGCACCCCAAAACAACAACAAAATATCTACCAAATGTGTAAATGTTGGTAGCATATTTTTCACGATGAAATATTCTCTTCCGTCATGTTATTGGATTATGCTAGTACGATTTTATTGGGTCACCATGTTAAGGTTATGCCTATTGTCAACTGTTCATTGAATCGAGTAAAAAAGTAAACAGAAACTAAATTCTGGTCATATGTCAATTTCTACAATATATCTTTTTAAAGAAACAGCTAGACGGCTGAGTGTGTTAGTATCATTATGCAGCGACTGGGTATAGCGCTGCGTCCATTGTAGCCTGTACTAAACGTCACATCATACAAGTTTCGTATGAGATCACGCTGGTGTTTTTTTTCTTTCGGAATAAGAACATTGCCATATCTGTAGGACTAGCCCGCTTATACACATTCGAAAGGAGGTGATGGATACGTGACATTAATGGGAGAATGTATAAGACCGTCGTGTTTATTCGGGAATGGAACGTACCGATGCAGCTGACATGAACAACATTGTATTAATAGAATGTGGAGAAGAAGTGATCTCCTTTGTGGGCAAGAATAATTACGCAGTCTAAATGAAATTTACAGGTGCATTATGTAAACCACTGCCAGCCGTTTTACTCGGAGTAGATAAAAGGCGGCACGGTATAGCCTATAGCCATCTATCTCTCTTCGTCCAATAGCTTGAGGGCCGTTAGGGGCGACAATGAAATAGACCTAATGACACAGATTCTCAATAACTTCATGTCTTCAGCTGTAATACAGTTCTAGTTGGCTGATCAAATAGCCTAAACGTCAGTTATAATAGTCTAGAAATATCAGGCAGACACTCAGATCAGTTGAATTCTTACGATGGATGGGGACAATATTCAAAGAGCAGATCTTTCTAGGGCTGAAAATGATGATTTGACACCTCTCCAAGAAGCAGCATCCAATGGTCACCTCAATGATATACAGGTTCTCATTCGCCAAGGAGCAGATCTAAATGGGGCTGATAATGATGGCAGGACACCTCTTCTTGCGGCATCATTAAATGGTCACCTCGATGTGGTAACATTTCTCATTGGCCAAGGAGCAGATCTAAAAAAGGCGGATAAATACGGCATGACACCTCTCCACATGGCATCATTCAACGGTCACCTAGATGTTGTACAGTTTCTCACTGACCAAGGAGGAGATCTAAATACGGCGGATAATGATGCCAGTACACCTCTACATGTGGCATCATCCAATGGTCATCGCGACGTTGTACAGTTTCTCATTGGCCAAGGAGCAGATATAAATAGGGCTGGTATTGGTGGGGGCACACCTCTCTACTCGGCATCTTCAAACGGTCACGTCGATGTTGTAAAGTTTCTCACTGCCGAAGGAGCAGATCTTAATAGGGCTGGTTATGATGGCAGAACACCTCTCCTAGAGGCATCATTCAATGGTCACCTCGTTGTTGTACAGTTTCTCATTGGGCAAAAAGCAGATCTAAATAAGGCGAGTATCAGTGGCAGGACACCTCTCCACGCAGCATCATCTAATGGTCATCTCGACGTTGTACAGTTTGTCATTGGCCAAGGAGCAGATCTGAATATGGCACATCGGTTTCAAGGCACACCTCTCCACACGGCATCATCCAATGGTCACCTCAATGTTGTACAGTTTCTCACTGACCAAGGAGCAGATGTAAAAAGGGCTGATGATAAAGGCAGGTCACCTCTCCAAGCGGCATCATGGAATGGTCACCTCGTTGTTGTACAGTTTCTCACTGGCCAAGGAGCAGATCTAAATAGGGCTAATAATAATGGTAGCACACCTCTCCACACGGCATCTTCCCATGGTCACCTCGATGTTGTACAGTTTCTCACTGACCAAGGAGCAGATTTCAAAAGGGCTGATGATAAAGGCAGGTCACCTCTCCAAGCGGCATCATTCAATGGTCACCTCGATGTTGTACAGTTTCTTACTGGCCAAGAAGCAAATATAAATAGGGTTGGTATTGATGGGCGCACACCTCTCTACACGGCATCTTCCAAAGGTCACCTCAATGTTGTACAGTTTCTCATTGAAAAAGGAGCAGATCTGAAAAAGGCTGGTTATGATGGCAGGACACCTCTTCTTGCGGCATCATTCAATGGTCACCTCGATGTGGTAACATTTCTCATTGGCCAAGGAGCAGATCTAAAAAAGGCGGAGAAATACGGCATGACACCTCTCCACATGGCATCATTCAACGGTCACCTGGATGTTGTACAGTTTCTCACTGACCAAGGAGGAGATCTAAATACGGCGGATAATGATGCCAGGACACCTCTACATGTGGCATCATCCAATGGTCATCGCGACGTTGTACAGTTTCTCATTGGCAAAGGAGCAGATAAAAATAGGGAAGATAAGGATGGATGGACACCTCTCTATACAGCATCATTCGATGGTCACCTCGATGTTGCACAGTTTCTCACTGGCCAAGGAGGAGATCTAAAAAGGGCGGATAAAGACGACATGACACCTCTCCACAAGGCATCATTCAATGGTCACCTCGATGTCGTACAGTTTCTTATTGGCCAAGGAGCAGATCTAAACAAGGGGAATATACATGGCAGGACCCCTCTCAATACAGCATCATCTAATGGTCACCTCGATGTTGTAAAGTTTCTCATTGGCCAAGGAGCAGATCTAAAAAGGGCGGATAAAGATGCCAGGACACCTCTACATGCGGCATCATCCAATGGTCATCGTGACGTTGTACAGTTCCTTATTGGAAAAGGAGCAGATCTAAATAGACTTGGTCGAGATGGCAGCACACCTCTAGAAGTGGCATCACTCAATGGTCACCTGGATGTTGTACAGTTTCTCATTGGCCAAGGAGCAGATTTAAAAAGGGCGAATAAAGATGGCAGGACACCTCTCTTCGCGGCATCACTCAATGGTCACCTTGGTGTTGTACAGTTTCTAACTGACCAAGGAGCAGATTTAAAATGGGCGGATAAAGATGGCAGGACACCTCTCTTCGCGGCATCATTCAATGGTCACCTTGATGTTGTACAGTTTCTCATTGGCAAAAAAACAGATCTAAATAGGACTGGTAATGATGGCAGCACACTTCTAGAAGCAGCATCACTCAAAGGTCACCTCGATGTTGTACAGTTTCTCATTGGCAAAAAAGCAGATCTAAATAGGACTGGTATTGGTGGGCGCACTCCTCTCCAAGCGGCATCATTCAATGGTCACCTTGATGTTGTACAGTTTCTTATTGGCCAAGGAGCAGTTCTGAATAAAGTTGGTCGAGATGGCAGCACACCTCTAGAAGTGGCATCAATCAAAGGTCACGTCGATGTTGTACAGTTTCTCATTGGCCAAAAAGCAGATCTAAAAAGGGCTGGTAACGATGGAAGCACACCTCTAGAAGCGGCATCACTCAAAGGTCATCTTGATGTTGTACAATTTCTCATTGGCCAAGGAGCAGATCTAAATAGGGCTGGTATTGGTGGGCGCACACCTCTCCAAGCGGCATCATTCAAGGGTCACCTCAATGTTGTACAATTTCTTATTGGCCAAGGAGCAGATCTAAATAGGGTTGGTCGGGATGGCAGCACACCTCTGGAAGTGGCATCACTCAAAGGTCATCTCGATGTTGTTAAGTTTATCATTGGCCAAAAAGCAGATCTAAATAAGGCTGGTATTGGTGGTCACACACCTCTCCAAGCGGCATCATTCAATGGTCACCTCGATGTTGTACAGTTTCTCATTGGCCAAGGAGCAGATCTAAATAGGGTTGGTAAAGATGGCAGCACACCTCTGGAAGTGGCATCACTCAAAGGTCATCTCGAGGTTGCACAGGTTCTCATTGGCCAAGGAGCAGATCTGAATAGGGCTGGTTTTGATGGGCGCACACCTCTCCATGCGGCATCATTCAATGGTCACCTCGACGTTGTACAGTTTCTCATTGGCCAAGGAGCAGATCGAAATACGGCTGGTAATGATGGCAGGACACCTCTCCAAGCGGCATCATTCAATGGTCACCATGATGTGGAACAGTTTCTCACTGACCGAAAAGCAGATCCAAATAGGGTTGATATTGGTTGGAGGCGCACACCTCTCCACGCGCAGTTAATTGATAAAGGTAAGTTCAGTTGGCAAGGTTGATTGTATTTGTTATTGACTCTATCGACCCCCTCTCGGGGTATGTGAGTACAACGTATTTCCAACAGAGTATCAATATAACAATAGTATAACAATGATAAACATGTGATAATATGAACAATGATAAACATATGATAAAATGATAAATGATTATGATAATATGAACAAAAATCAATATATTATTTACAAATCAAGGCGAACTGGGCAGTTCACCCTCCTACCGCTACAAGTTTGCCTCACAACATTGCTTACTTGTGAGCTATCATTTACAGTATTACCATCTACACTTGGCTCTTTTGAAAAATGTGACATAATTATCCTTAAAAATTTTGCTAATTTCTTTAGCTGGCAAGCATGAGCTGTATTAAAAACCTTATCCATGTGCAACGCACTTGGTCTAGAGCTACTACCACACACGTTATTTGGTATACACCATTTTTTCTCATTTTGGAAGAATGGACATATACAAATATAATGAAATTCATCACCAATATCGGTTGATGTATAAAGTGCGCATTGCAAATCATGTACTACTATATTTGCATCAAATCTGCTTTTATTAACAGGTAATCTATGTGTTTTACATCTAAATTTACTTACATTTCATAAACTTATTCTTAAATATCCTTTAGTTCGTGCAAATTTGACTAGGTAGCTACATCCATTCCTGAATAGACATGTCACAAAGCCTGATTTTCAAAGTATTCATTATCCAGGCAGCACTATATCCTTCTCCTTGAGCTCGCCAGACGTTTCCAAGTCATGTATAATCAAAACTCAGGAGTCGTGAACGTGAATGGTCGAATGTGGGTCGTGAATGGTCGAATAGCGGTCGGAAAGAGCTTGCGTTTAGGCATGTGGTCGGGATTTGTCGGGGGAAAATGGGTGATCGGGCTTGATTGGGCTTGGGCGGGTTGGTTTGATCGGCAGTAGGAACCCACCATTAAGCAGTATCTTCGATCGTGTAGAAAAAAAAACAAATATTGGAATCATCCCTGATAATGTGATCACAATGTAGGGGTATATACCAATTTCTAAAAATTATATCTTGTCGCTGTGAGAGTTCCCTTTGTAGGTGCCCCTGCTTTCCCAAAAGTGCCCCTTAAGTGTTGACCCCCACTTTGAAAAACCCTCTGCCGCCGCCCCTGTGCACGTTCGCAATTATATCCACACAAGTACAGAAATCCAATAAAAAAAATAACATGCAACTTGGAGAGCACACATGCCAATTCCCTCTTGATTAATATAAATGTTTCTGATATCGATAGACTTCAACGAATCCAGAATCGTGCAGCCCGTATTATTTCAAATGCAAGAAAATATGATCATGTGTCTCCCTTGTTAAAACAACTACACTGGTTACCTGTTCATAAGAGAATAATGTATTAAGTTTCACTATTTGTTTATAAATCCATGTATAACCTTATCCCATCCTATATTTCTAGTCTGTTTTGTCCCTTCCAGCAATCGAGATATCCATTACGTTCAAGGTCAGACCCCCTTCTTCTGCAAATCCCCCGCATCAATTCGAAGAAGGGTCAACAAAATATAATTTTTTCTGGTCCCACTATTTGGAATAGTCTCCCTTTAAGCATTCGTTCTTGCACCTCAGTCGCATTATTTAAGAAACATTTAAAAACTCATGTGTTTTCTTTGTAATTGTCATTTTTTTTAGAGTGTAATGCACTTGGAGAGTATATAACTATTTTGTTTGTATTTTAAAATGTAAAGCGCCTTGAGCATGTTCATGTAAAGGCGCTCAATAAATACCAATATGTATGTATGTATGTTCGCAATCGTTTACATTGAGTGAACTGATGAGGTAGGAATAAACGACCGTTTCTGCTGTATATTTTGTGCTATATAACACCACATTTGGTTTTTTCTTTATAGATCCAGTCGTTGGTTCAAAAAAGGAAAGCGGGAGTGTCGAAAAACAGGTGGATAGCGAAGCAAACGTGCAAACCTCAAAACTCGAACAGCTCAACATAGACTCTGCATCTTCTGAACAGGTCGTAGAAGATTATGATTCCATGGGGGAATCCAATCAGCAATCAGGCTTGATTCGCATCGAAAAGTATGGCATTGAAGTCCAGTTTCATCCAAGTGAGATTTGGCGCGTTGATGACATCCAGGTAGTACCTGAAGTTCCAGCTGAACTGGCAGACTTGTTAAAGGAGGACCAAGCAATCATTTGCGTTGGTCTTAAGGTGTCATCGTCTTTTGCGAAGTTTGAATATCCAGTAAAAGTGACGATGCCCCATTCAGCAATTTTCACAAGTCCCGATACTGCATCTATTGGGACTTACCATCGAAAAAGCAGTAAGAATCTTTACAGTTAACAACTAAATTATTTATACCTTACCAAGTTTTTTAATTTCAAAAGTATGTGAAAAATGGACTCGTATCCTGAATATATGTTTCTAGAAAATGTGACATATTCAAACTTACATCTAAAAGTATTCAACAAAGGCCCTACTTCAACCACCTTTCATTGTTAAGTTGTGAAAAAAAAAAAAAACATTACATTAAGAAGGGGTATGATTTATTTAGATGTTAAATGCAAGTCTATGTTAAGACGCATTAGATTTCGTTCAATCACCCATCGCAACATTGAGTGATATATTCAAGCGTACTTCATTAGCATAAAGCTGGGGTACTCACCCTCCCCGTCGCTTCTGCGTTCTTTCTTGAAATTTGTAGTTGTTTTTACTTTGCTTTGTTTTCGATTTTGCAAACAAGAACAAATTGTGATTACGCATATGTCTTTTGTTTTCAATTTAAAGGCTCCGACAGTTTTTCGTTGATTGCTGCTGCCAATGGTGACCCTCGATGTGATGTTAGAGAGCAAGACCTTGACCTCTATATCTCTCACTTCTCTGAATGGTGGATTGTTGCCTTCATCACCAAGGTATTCGTGGGCAAGCGTGTCATCTGTACGCCTTTCGTACCCGAACCGAGTCCTATGAACGCTAAGCATCTGTTGAGGCTCTGCATTAGAGACAGTAACCAAGGAAAAGCGGAGGTATGAACGGGAAGGGGGTAATGTGACACAATGGCACGAATTCACAAAAGAGGTTTTTCGACAAACCTGGGTTTATGTGCGTCATATGACGCGTTTCGACGCGTTTTACAAACCTTGGTCTATAAAAAGGCGTCGAAATGCGTCTTATGACGCACATAAACCTAGGTTTGTCGAAAAACCTCCTTTGTGAATTCGGGACAGTTTGTTTAAAACTACTAAAGTACCTATGTCATATTCGCTTGTCGTCCAGGTTACTGGTTCAGACCAACAGAGCTTGCGTATGAGGTTCACCGCAAAATGACAAGCAACGTGGGCTGGAGCAGGGCAAATAGACCATTTTCATATTGTAATGAAGTGTTATGCGTACACTTCAAGTGCCATGATACACCTGTTAGGAATAATCTAGTTCAATAGTCAGAATGCAAATGGCATACATTACTTGATAATAGGACAAACATCTGATAACTTGTCCTGCCTTGTCCTACAATACGGAACGTTTGCATTAGGCAATTTTCGTAATTTAACAAAATTTAATGCATACGTCTTTGTGAAGTACCTCGATATATCTCATTCATCTGATAAGAATAATAGAATTTCAATAGACAGAATCCAAACTGCATACATTAGTTGTTGCCAGACTGGATACACTTTATAGCTTGCCCTACCTAGCAACACTTAATATATGCAGCTTGTATTCTGACTATTGAAATACTATTATTCTTATCGGGTGAATGAAATTATTTGTATTGAGGATGTTCACAAATACTTATGTATTATATTTGATTTCATTTATGAAAACGGCCTATTGCATACCTGTGTCCTTATTGACTGATCTGTTTCATCGTATCCGGACACCTACCCCCTGGACATCCACCCCCGGGTAAAACTTAAGATGAAAAATGACAAAGTGTTTAAACGTTATTCATTCTTTTGTTCTTAATGTTGTTGTTTTAATTTTTGTTTTCAATTTAATGACATGTGGTTTTCTTGCTCATGTAAAGTGTAAACTGTATATTATTTTTTATAGCATTACACATTGGTGGGCTACTTTCTTTTCATTGTACATGTATATTCTTTTTATATCAAAACAAAAATCAGCCCGAACCAGGATACGGGACACCGATAAAGGGAGAAGAATATTTTGTGGCATGGCGTTCTGGTGATCTTAAAGTAACCTGTCAGGTAGACGACAAGGAAATATACACCAAGGCAAGTTAATATAAATGCTTTAGTTACAACGACAAACCAACTCAAAATTAACTGATCGATTTGTTGGCTATTCAGAGCAATGTTTTTGTTTTGTTGGTGTGATGTCTTTAATTTTTATTTTTTTAAGTATTTCTTTTTAATTGTATTCATACAATGCATGTAGATCGTACTAATTATTTCAAATTACATTAAATATAGAGTACACAATATACACAACTCAATTATTTGGAATTAATCAATCTTATCCTAATAACCCCCTTCCCCAAATTAAAACACAAAATGGTCTGTATGATCGGTGCATAGCGTATTGAGAGAGAGAGGTAGTTGTGACACGCGCGCACGTTCGCGATCAAATGTTAATTCATGGAGCTCCAAATGAATCCCTCCCAAATAAAATCTCTATAAAGCGCGTGTTACAACTACCTCTCTCAATACTGTGATGGAGGTATAATAGAGAGGGGAAATAAGTAGGTAAACATGCCATTTTTCTAATCGTAACAGTTGAATGAAAAGTAAAGTTACTCGATTATATTACCTGAATATGAATTTTTATCTATTGTGGCCAATATATGCAACATTTCTAACCAAAGGTGTATTAATGTGATATCGCGTATCAATAGAAGCATGAATAATAATAATACGTATATTGTTTATTTACCCTCGCTCGACGAAAGTGTGTGTGCGCGTTTTGTTGCGAGCAGACGTGGGTGTGTGCGTTTGATTACTCAACCATTTTAACAGGGGATCAGAAACACGTTATGTTATATAGGATGATACCTACGGGGTCTAATAGAGACACAATCATGTAGCACCATTAAACTGTAGCCTTGCAGAGGAAGAGATAATCTTATATTAGGCAAATCGTTAGGACATACAATCTAATTAATTGACATGATGGGTACATTTGATGTGTATCTAAAATTTTTATCCTATGTCTTTTTTAATAGACACAACATGAAACTCTGTTTCATAAATCAGTTGAGATCAATGTACGGTTCGGCGTTGACACTTCAGGCTCTGGTAAATCCCAAATCTTTGTCAAGTTCATTTTGGAACAAAGCGCAGAGAAAGAGATTATGTTCCTGATGACTCTGTCAGGTAAGTGTTAATCGCCTGAAATCATATATATGTACG